ACCATGAGTTTTCATGAACACACACACTTCACATGGGTAAGTCTAGAGCTCACGTAAAGCCTTTCTTGTCTTCTTGAGACTTGGCACCATTAAAGATATACATGCCTAACCTTGCCTTCTTTATAAAATGGACAGGTGCTTTAGGGTTCTGGTAGCTACGGTTCTTTCAGTAAACCCTCTCAGTACTAACAATACTTTATCTTCAAACAGCATGGAGTGAATTTTGAAGTGTTTTATTCCGATGATGTCCCTTCAAAGATATCCAGTTATTAAGTTTCTCTCAGGTCATTTTCAGACTCAAGTCGATCACCCGTAGACGGAAGTGAGGACAGCACAGTTGGAAAGAGGTCTAAAGCTGTTATTGTAGACAAACGGCTAGTTACAAGTGCCAGTAAGGGAGAGCTTTTCCATTCATCTTTCCCTGCATACCCTGGTTTGTCACCACAGCACTCATGTCCCTAATCTGATTAGCTAGAGGGGTGTCCAGAAATCCCTTAGCTACAATAGTCACTTGCAAAATCCAAAGACATCAAAACAATGATTAATAAAATATATCTATAAGCGTGTTTATAGTCACAGGGGGTTAAGAGGGAAATGAAACAGCAGCTATTGCAAGCTCCTTTCCCCCGGAATTCATAATTTATTTACCTTGTCTGTCCTGCTCCCGGTGTGGCTGCAATCAGTTGCATTCAGTGTCAGCTCCTCGTACAACAGTCTACTGTGCCTGCATTTCTAGCTCTACAAGCTAAAAGGTCTACAAATACTTTTTTTAAAATGTCACCATGTACATTTTAGTTATCCAGGTGAAATCTAATTGCTAGTAGAAAATGAACTAACCCCACCCTCCACCAAAAGTATATTTAAATAAAAGTGTATTAGTCAGGGTAGGCCAACTGGTGAAAGAACACCAAAACCTCAATGACTTCACATAACGAACATTTATTTCTCATTTATGCCAAGTCCAGTGGGGATACCCCGATCTGGCAGCCCTCCTCGGTGGCACTCCTATAAGTTACAAACTCAAGGATTCTGTTTCCTTCCAACTTCTGGTGCCTGCATCTGCAACATGTAACATGGCCCCAGAATTTCCAAGAACTAACAGTGAGAGAGTACTGGGCATGACCGATCAGACACTTATGAACTTCTGGGCATGATCTATCAGATACTTATGAATTTCTGGGCATTATCGATCAGACACTTACAAACTTCTTCCAAAATTGCACACATGATTTAGGCTCACATTCCATTAACCAGAAAGAGCCACATGATCTCAAGTTAGACACAAGAGCCTTGGGAAATAAATGTAAATCCCGGTGAATGGCACTTTCTAAGTCTACATCAGGGACGGAGAACCAGGCTGGTGATCAGCTAGCTATCTCTGGCCTGTGGACCAAAGCAGACATATATAAAAAAATCCACATGATCTCCTACCAGATGTCAACTCCTACTGATCCTAAAGCAGATATCGATGCACAGCTCCTAAGTGAGGGATCCCAGTGAGACGGCACAAGGTACAAGCTTCAACACAGAAGCTTGGGAAATAGACCTAGATTCAAATCCCAGCCCATCACTTCGCAGCGGTGTGACCTTGTGCAGATAACTTAACTCTATCTATGTCTCATCAGGACAATGGAGACAGCAGCAATATTTTATTTGTAGGGTTGTTATGAGGACAATGAACATAAAGACCATGTGGATTAGAACAAAAAGAAGCTTGCTATAGCAAGGAGTTGATAGACTTCATCCCTTACATTTAGCAGAGATGCAAAGATAGGCAGGGAGTGAGAGAGGTTTAGAAGGAGAAAAAGAGAAGGCTTCAGGTAGATTTGGCTGGAGGTTGCTGGCATGGGGAGGCTGGAGGCGAACTAACCAGAAGAAGATATTTACTGATTCGTTTGAGAAGCACATTTGACTGTCTCTGGGCGATCTTGAATTGAAAGTGGGGGCAAAAACAGGAGATCTGGCAGTCACTGACCAAGTCCTGACTTTAGAGAGCCAACTGCCTAGGAGGCTGTGGGTCACGATTCCATCGTTATATGTGGTCTGGCCACTGTCCCTTTGCATGTTCAATCTCTTGTCAGCTATTATTCTTCCAAAGCAGACAGGAGGCCTACTCTTCTTTCACACTAACAGAGATAATCTGCCGGGTCTATATGCTTCCAGAAAAATCAGATTTTTTTATGTGAGAACCCTAGGATAAAGGGTGAGGAAAATATGGGAAAAAAACTAAAAAAATATGGGATAAAGAACTAAGGTATAAAGGGTGAGGAAAATATGGGAAACTAGCTTTATGTTCTCCACTCTCTGGCAAAGCCAGGTCTACGGTTCCACTGCCGGTGCACAGCAAACCTCTCTGTAGCCAGGTGAAGCCATTATTACAGGGCGGTCATGGGCTCCACAGAGCCATGAATGGATGGGGTTTCCAGGAGGCTGGAGAGCCGAGGGCAAGGGGACACAGCTCAGAAAGGCCTTCACACTGACTGCCTTTCTCCCCCAGTGAGGATGGAACCCTCTGACAGGAACTTACAATAACCAGCAGAGCCTAGAGTTTGCAGGTATCCCCCTAAAATAGTGGGGCAGGGAGATTTTATGGATGGTGTAAATTCTTTCTGAATGGAAATGAAAGACATTATAGGAAGTAACTCTGACCCAGCACAAAATTAAGCTTCTTGACTTCTGCAAGACCTTACCTGAAGTGGACAGTGTTACTGGATGCGACTTACCCCTCCCAGGCAGCCCAGGAGAGATTCCTGGGAGGCAGTGAAGCTGCTGGAAGATAGCCTGCAGCTATTCAGACTCTAGGGACTGGGGATTTTTTATCATTAATACAGAGACCTGCAACTATGCAAGTGCTCTGGTCTGACCACAGGTGGTGGGTGCCCAGGCTCAGTCACAAACCTTAAAAACGGCATGAAGTGCATTTAAAGCCAGCCAGCAGGACATGAGGCAGATGCAAACGGATGTCTTAGAGGTATAAAGAGTTGAAAAATGAGTGAAGAAAGGAGCTGGAAAAGCTAACTTCATGCTAATACCACCGTCCAAAAACTGAGTGGGTCTCTCTGGGGTTGAAAAGAGGGAAGGGAGTTTGTTACTTCTCAGTCCCTGGAAACACACCTAACAGATACTATTTTTGAAATGTTAATTGACACCCTTCCCCAATCCCCAAGAGTTTCCTTTTTCCTTTTAACCCTTTCTTCTATGTTTCCTTCCTAGCCAAGATGCCTTTGCTCACTGCCTCAGGTCAGGGAAGGGAGGAACACAGAGAAAAATGGAGCCCTTTCTTACATTTGCATTCCAAAAGCCCAGAATCTTCAGGGAAAGAGAGGGGGTAAAACACAAACAAACAAATATCACCCACCACACTAGACAACAAAGCCCTCTTCTGAGGCAAAAGCTCATGACAGACACAGACATCTGTGGACAGTTGTGCATCCCTTACCTGCAGGCAAGAACCAAGTCTGCCTTTGCAGATGGTCCCAGTTGCCCTGGAACAACGTGAACACGCTGTGTCTCAGGGTGCCATGTGCTGCCCGCTTCAGGAACCCCAACAGCACCACTCGTGGGCACAGTGCAGCCCAGTCAGAGAAGAGCTCACTCAGACCCCACTTTGCTCAGCCCAAGAGAAAACTCTCTCCCACTACTAACTTATGAGGTCCTGGATGTTGTAAGCTCCAGGGATTAAAGGGTGGAGAGTGGAACCCTAAACACCCAGCAAGACTGTTGGTGCTGAAAGAAAAGGTTATACTCTGACTCCCTCTGACCCAGGAGAATAGAAAACACTTGGTGATTACATACAGGCTTGAACAATCACTTGGCACAGAGGTATGCAGAAGGCATCTCATTAGGGGTCTTTATCAGGGTTCTCTAGAGAAACAGAATCAGTACAGCATGAGAGACAGAGAACATGTAAGTGTATGTGCATGTGTCTGTAATATAAGGATTTATTATAAAGAACTGGTTCACACTATTACGGAGACTGACAAGTCCCAACATTTGCAGGGTTGGTATATAGTTCCTGCCCAAAGGTTAGCAGTCTATCTTCTGAAACATTAATATCATTCAGAAATACCCTCACAGATACACCCCGAGTAATGTCTGATAATTATCTTGGCACCCGCAGTCACAAAGTCAAGTAGACACATATCACCAACACAAGATCTCCATGTTGTGACATTTAAGGCCATTTCTAAAACTTAGATCCTAGGGGCGTTGCATCAAGGCATCAGGAGCTTAAAAAGAAAAGGCAGCGATGGGATTTGTTAAAGCTTATGCCCAATCTTTTTTTTTTTTAAGATTTTATTTATTTATTTGACAGACAGAGGATCACAAGAAGGCAGAGAGTCGGGGGATGGGGAGCAGGCTCCCCACTGAGCAGGGAGACCAATGCAGGGCTCGATCCCAGAACCCTGAGATCATGACCCAGCCAAAGGCGGAGGCCCAACCCACTGAGCCACCCAGGTGCCCCGGCTTAGGCCCAGTCTTGCTGGGGGTTGAAGTTTCTTGCAAGGAATGTTTCAGTGTAGCCAGTCTGTGTCTGGGTCCAGTGTAGCACCCAGGCATGGCACAGTTTTATTGTTAAATTATCATCCACCGTACAGCATAAAACAAGCTTTTTAGAGACAAGAACGGCAAAACTTTCCAAGGCTATACAAATCGTGCTTCTTCCATATTTTCTGCTATGCCAATAAGGGTTTGGTCCTAGTTAAGTCAGTACAATGTAGTGATTAAAATGTGTTCCAGACACAAAGGCCCAAAGGCCCAGGTTCAAACCCAGGCTCTGCTTAGACCTACACAATGACCTTTGGTAAATTATTTAATTCTTTGAACCTCCATTCTCACATCTGTAAATGTGGGGATGACACGGCTTATCCTCATTAAATCACGGGATGCCAGTAAATGACTTAGCTCAAATACTTAATCTACATAGTAAATGATTATTATAACTTAGAGTTCTTTGAAATGTGCTAGTATCACCCTGAAGTCTTTTGAAAAATACTTACTTCACTCTTCCTTTCTCTTTCTCTTCCACTCCACACCTTGGTCACAACAAAACTACCACTGATTTTTGAGGTTAACAGAGACATTGCTGGTAGAATACTGAGTGATAATTTCCTCAGAAACCCAGGAACTCCATTCAAGGGCAGGCCTTTGACTTGAGGCCAGAAAGCTGGAAACCAGAAAACAAAGATAAATAATCCGATTTCCTCCTTCAAATTAAAGCTTTGTGTGCAGGCATGTGCACCAGAAAATACTGACTTAATCATAAGCATTCAATTAAGATTAGAAGTAGTAAAATACAGCATCAGAACTATGGGACGCACAGTAATCAAGAAGTTATTTCCAAAAAAACCCAACCTCATGACAATGCTCAATATTGCTGATGTGTGGATATAAGCAATTCCAGAAGGAAAGATAATTATACTATTCGACAGTAATGCAAATTTTCTCTCCCTATGTCACTTTATCTCTAGCTGTGAGGCCAGAATTTTCCAGAGAGAAGACACTCAGGAAGATTCTGCCTTGCCTACTACTACACTTGATCTTAGTCAAAAGACCAAAAAGAGATAACTATTTCTAAAGATATACTTCTTAATAAATTTTTTTACGCAAAGTTCAAGTTACATAAAGAAAGTAGGGTTAGCTACAGTTTGCTAAAATTACATTGTCTTAAACCTATACTGGCTTTAAGCAATGGCTTCAAGAGTCAAAAAATTTTGAAAGGGTAAAATACCAACTATTTTCTTTAGAGAGAGTTTGTGGATATAATAAATGGAGGAAGATGCTATTTGACTAAATATAATGACAGATTCCACATGCTGTGTCAATGTGGATTCCACAAAGAAATAACACCTTTTGTGCACAAGGAGTTTAAAAGGAGTTCAAAATACTGTGTGAAAGAAGTTACACAAAAAAGAGCATATACTATATGCTCCAATTAACACAAAATTCTAGAAAATGCAAATCAGTAATCTCTAATGACAAAAAGCAAATCAGAGAGGTCTCCTGGCAAGGGAATAAAGGGCACCACGGGCACTAAGCACCATGACATATGCGCACTAGAAAACTTCTGGAGGTGATGGAAATGTTTCGTTTTCTAGATGTGGTGATGGTTTCACAGGCGTGTATGTTATGCCTAATCTAACTCCTACACTTCAAACATATGCAGGTTATTGTTCTCTAGCTAAACATAAAGACCAAAAAAAAACAGAGAATTATGATATGAGCAGGCACCGTAGCAAGTAGATGCTCCAAAAACGTTGAATATATAGGACTCTCCTGGGCAGAGTCTGCCTACTTCTACTGGTTCTGTGTTCTGTGACTGTTGTATGTGTCCCATATACTGGATATAAATGTGTATTCTCTGTATGTTGTAATTAAGGGATTTGGATGATCCATGTTCATTAGTCTTTACCATACAGTTTCTGATTTCTATGTTCATTGTGTCATATTTTCCTCTATGACTGTTTCTTCCTCTATCCCGTATTTCTTTCTCTTCTTCACAAAATGCATTACAACTGCTGCTAATAGCATCTTCATCTCCCTCTGAGGAATGGCTAAAACTCTTCTTCAGCCTGTGAATCAAGAGTTGCCTTTATATTTCTACCTGAGTGGTGAGAATGTAAGTGCAAACCATGGACAGGCATCTGGCCCTGCTGAGGGGAGACCTACCTAAAATGGAGCCATCACAGAGGAGAAATGGAGCAATAAGGATCATGTGAATCCCCAAGTCCAGATGGGCTTGTGGTTAGGCCTGTCTCTGCACTTGCAGTTCCGTGACCAATTTCACTTTTCAGGAAGCCAATGTCACCTGGATGTTCTATCTTCCGCCATGTGTCCCCTATGTCCCCCGCAAAAGACCAGTGCCATCTGCGAGAAAGCATCATTTGGTGGTCTGTCCATCAGGGAAAGATGCATGGGAAAGTTTAAGTGTAAAGAGGACCTGAAACCACTAAGTGGGCTTCCATAACTATGAACGTTGGCGTCTCCAGACAAGTTGACAAGCCGGAGGAAGCTCACAGGCATGGTCCCCTCTACTAAACATGTCTGAAATCAATCTCAGGCAAGATGTGCACAGGAAGCAAAATAAGTGCTACCAGCTGCGTGACTTTAGCCATATTTCTGGAGCTAAGTCTCACTTCCCTCATTTTAAAAGGGGACTACCGTACGCTCTGCTTCTTGGTTTTCTAAGACAATTACATTGAGCTATACACTTCAGTCCTTAGTTCAAGGCCTGGAACAGAGTAGGCCTCAAGAACTACTGTTTGTTATATTACTGTCACTAAGACGTCATTAATATTCATCTACACCACAAAGCCATTATGGTTCTCTCCCTTCTCCTCCTTGACCCAAATCCTGTGCCTTCTTCAAGCCCCACCTCCTCCTCCAAGAAAATCTTCCTGGATTACTTCAATATATAATGCATGGATTATTTTCTTATCTGAATTTCCAAACCATTTATTTTGCACATGTGTCTGATAGCGCACCATACTATGTCATAAACTGAATTCCCAGTACTGGGCTAAAGCCAGTTCATTTCAGCTTGTAAGAACCAAGTGTTAAATTTTCAGGGATTCTGAGAGGGGGTTGTTAAACACAGCCATTTTTGAAAATTCAATTTCATAAAAGTATAATTAAGTAAGTTGTATTAAAAACAAAGGTACTACACTCAAAGCACAACACTTCCCAACTGGTTATAACACATTTTACCATCATCTGTGTTCCTGAGGTTACTTAGGTCTGTGATGTATGTGGGGAGGAAGTACTATAAAATGGAGGATTACCACACATCTCCTTCCAACTCCACATGCAGTGACATCGTGTGGGTAGCACGCAATCAGTCACGGTGGGAGAATTTACACCACAGGAATCAGCAAACGCCAATCAGAGCTCTCTCTCCGCTCCCAGCCCACTGAGACAACTGTTCAACATTTACTGGCATACCACTGGTTTCAACTTTCTCTATTTGTCAAGTGCTCTGAGTTCATTAGCTCTTTGACAACAGGAATGTTTCACATTTCTCTTTGTTCTCTGTGTTGCTCAACATAGCATTCCAGACACAGTAGGCGTTAAACATTTTGCCACTTATTAGAAGCCTAGAAAGAGGCAATCACTGCACAAAGACTACTATGGCTACATCTATGTGACCTAATGTGTTTAAAAATACACCCTACACAAAAACCTTGTAGTTCTACCACTGCTTGAGTTGTAAACAATGAGGAAAAGGCCAAACATGAAAGCAGAGTAAAAATATTATAATGGGACAAAGTAAATGTGCACTGACACACTCCTACCCCGTAACAAAGAGTGAGATCGCTCAAACTCATGTCATAGGGAATGGTCAAAAAAAATCAGTAATGCTCCTCTTAGAGAGCGGAGAAATTGTAGGTGCACAGAGGGTAATAAAAATGTCTTCAAACAGCTGAAAGGCTATCACAAAAGAAAAAGATTGGATATTTTCTGTATTGCACTAGACAATAATACCAGAATCAGTGTTTAGATGTTACAGAGGCACATTTTGATATGATGAGGAAGAACTGTCCTACAGAGACAACTCAAGACGGATGGAAGGAGAAGGGATGAATTCCCGCTCCAGGGATACCTGAACACGTGGACTGATCACAGGGCTTGGCACACAGTAATAACTCACGAATGAATAAGTTAATGGGCCAGCAGTGGTTCTCAACTGGAGGCCACTACTGTTCCCTAGGGAGTAACTGAAAATTCACTGAGTCACTTAGTGAAGGGGCAGGAGAGCAAGGCAAGAGATGTCCCCACACAACAAAGAATTCTATTGCCCAAAATGAAAACTGTGCTCCCACTGACACCTAGCATCTTAGGCAAATCCTGAAGGGGATGTTTTAAAGAATCATGCAGCAAGTGCTTGTCGGGCAACTAAGTTTCAAGCACCCTACTGATCTTTAGGGCTAGTTGCACAAACTGAAGCTTCTTCTTACAAGAGGCTCAAGACTAATGGAGGGAGATGAGGAAGTAAATGCCCAGTTTCAAGAGTGATACATGGCTAATCTAAAAATGTGACTGGGTACTGAAGGAGCAGAGAGTTCTTCTCACTCTTGTAGGACAGGGTCATTTAAAGGGTGGGGAAGGCCTCTGAGAAGTACTGGTGCCTTCAAGTTGGGTTTTCTAGAATGTGCACAGGAGCCCACAACTTGGAAGAAGGAATTCCAGGTGGAGAAAATAGTATGTATATAGGAACAGCAATGTGAGAGAACAAGGCACTAGAAGTCTGGTGCCATTAAAAAGATTTTGTTTTTTGCAACAGTTACATTTGGGCACCTGCTATGTTTTTTAAACATTTCCCTCAGATGGCACTGCAAGAACCTAAGCATGGCTTGCGTGAAGGTTGAGTACCAGAACTGTTGCGAAAAAAGACTGGGTGCTTGGGAAATGTCCCTTCCAACCCTGAGGATCTTTGAAACTTTCCTGATGTAAGAGAGGAGAGCTATTATTACCAGGATACCCTCTGATGAGCAGAGCCCTAGACCCTCACCTTACTGTACTCTCTCCTTCCCCCCATTCCCTCCGCTCCAGCAACATGGGCTTTCTGTCTGTTGCTTTATCACAAGGCTAAGCCGCTCCCCACCTCAGGATATTTGCACAGGCTCTTCCCTCTACTTGGCACACTCCTTCCCAGATACATAGTTGGTTTCTTCTCATCCTTGAGATCTCAACTCAGCATCACCTCCTCAAAGAGGCTTTCCCCGTCCCGCCTTATCGGGAAAGGTCTCATTCCTTTAACTGACTATAGTCTGTCCCCACCACTAGAATTTCAGTTCGAGTGCAGTATCTCCTCTATCTCACTACCCATGTACCGAACTGCTAGTATCCAGCAGGTTATTTATGCGCACCTGGGCTCCCATCCTCTAAGAGATCATATAACAGACAAGAGAAGATAGAGGAGAGCACCTGGGATAGCTGCACGGACAGAAAGACGGCTGGCATGTATACTTCCGGTACTCCGGGGATGGGACTAGAACTAGGAAACCGTGTCTCTAGAGAGAAAATTATAGGGCCTGAGATACTCAGCTTGGTGAAAAATCCTCTCAAAAGGTGCATACTCTTTTCAAATATCAGGAGAGCATCACGTGGAAAGGGGACCAGAATAACTGAATCAATCCCCACGGGGAAAGACTACGGGACAGAAACCA